GATTTTTCTACCAATCGTCTTGTTTATTTACTGCAATTTACGTAATTTAAAATACTTTATTTTTACTAATCTATTTATTATTTTTAGACGCATTTATATTACTTTTATATATATATATTTTAGTTCTCGTTTCTATAAATGTGGCCATTTTTCCGTTTAAAGTTTTTTAAAATTAAAAAATTCGATTTACTTTTTAACTTAACTTTCCAACTTACTTTTTTTTAATTTATCTTTATTTTTTACCTTACTTTTCTGATTACATCTCTCTACTCGCTATTTTAAATATCGTCATCAACAACATCATCATACCGTAATCAATGGGAAATACTAAATCGAAAAAATCTAATGATAATACATTTACCAGAACTTTAGACTTGGCTGAAATTGATAGTTACCAAGTTCTGCATCATGTCCTTCGTACTATATGGGATGGAAATTTCATGTCTCCTATTATGCATAGTTTAAAATCTGATAATGGTGCAAATGTTTTAGATGTTGGGTATTTATTATTATCTTTATATTATCTATTTATCTTTATATTATCTATTAATATTTATCTATGATTTATTCATTATCTTTTATATTAATTGATATTTCTTACCATTATTCATGTCATTATATAAAAAAAGTTGTGGCCCAGGTACTTGGACATGTGAAATGTCTTCGGATTTTCGAAATTCTACGTTTACTGGAATAGACGTGGTTCCGATGTTTCCTGATCAAAAACCAAGCAATGTAAAATTTATTCTACAAGAAAACCTTACTTCCGGCCTTCCATTCGATGATAATTCTTTTGATTTTATTCATTTGAGATTTTGTTGGTATTATTTTACTTTTGATCAATGGAGAACCACTGTCATAAAGGAATTAGTTAGATTATTGAAACCAGGTGGTTGGCTAGAGGTTAGTTAAATTCCTTTAATATTTCTATGAGATTATAAATAAATAAAATTTATTTATTCTGATTTTATTTGATCTCTTTTAGATATGTGATATAACGCTGGACGGTGATAATCTAGGTCCTGCAACTTTGAATTTTTGCGAAGACAGTATGTATTCTTACATTTAAAAAAAGATAGATTTATATATAAATTCATAATACTTATAATATTCTGATATTTTAGTAAAAACACGCGCTAAAGACAAACATCTTGACCCAGAGATAACATATCATCTACCAACAATATTAAGTTCTACGCCAACCCTTTCTTCTGAAGTACATTATGAATTAAGAACGATTCCTTGTGGGTCATGGGGTGGAAAAGTTGGTGAACATCATGAACAGGCTGTAAAAGATCTCGTTACAAAGTGTTATAATGAATATTTGTCACCTAAAGCTGCTATCAAAGTGGTAGAACAAATCTTACACGAACTTAAGGATTATCGAACTAAATCTTATTGTCATAGGATTTATGTACAAAAAATGAATTGTAAATAATTTTTTTTGTTGAAAATTTCTCAATGTTTTATTAGTCACGAAAAATGAAATCTCCAAGATGCCGAGGTTATGATAATCTCATTTCTTTATAAAAAACATTTTTTTTGTCATTACATATATTCTATGGCAAAATACTTTTTTGTGCTGTATTACTGTATTAATTTTAAGCTTTAAACCAAAAAAAAAAAAAAAAAAAAAAGCTTTTTTTTTAATTTTTTTTCCTATAGTAATAATTTTCTATAGTAATAAAAATTATTTACATTAAACTGCTAAATGTTAGTATCAATACTAGACACCCTTGAATCCACAGGATTGTGCGTACGTACGCACGCACGCACACACGCACATGCGTACTTACTAATTATCCAACATCGACAATATTTAGTTCTCTTCATAATTTGATCCGAAATCCGTAAATTCGGATATCTAATCTAAAATCCGATCCTATGCGGATAACATATTTTTATTTAAGAGGTAATCTGCATCGGATATGTCCGGATAATCTATCAAATATTTCGTATTTGTGTGATTCATAAATATCGACATAAAAAATTTTATAGGATCTCTTGCAGTACGATGACATAATTAACAATTAATAAACATGTATTATTAATCAATTGATTTAATTGATTAAAAGGGTGTCACCTATGTTTTAATAGTTCCAATTTATTATTGACATAATGACATTGAAGAGATAAGTATGTCGATAAAAACATTCATCCTCCCGAATATTAAGAAGCATTAAGTGGGTAACGCCAAGGAAAAATCATGCTTCAATCATATAAAATTTATATGATCGAAGCCTGCTTTTTCCTTGGCGTTACTCAAACAATATATATATATCACAAATTATTTTGTGTAATATATATTATATATAGTATATAATAACATAATAAACATTTATTACTATATTAGGGATCGTCTGAAGCAGGGTAGTTTTTAAGTTGATTAATAATAAATCGTAAAATAAAAGTCACGTGAGGCATATAAATTACTATATACCTGGCTTTAGACGACCCTATATTGGGTAGGTCGCTCTGAAACCAGGAAGAGATTAAGCATATACAGTATATCTTGATTATATGTATTAATTGATTAAACGAATAAGAATATGTGTGGATAGATTCTTATGAAAGTGGAAACAATGCTTACAAGTTTCTTTATTCAAAGTCAAAGACTAAACCATGAGGAAAACTACTAACCATTTCTAAAAATGTAACTAATAGCAAAAACAGGCATAGTATTGTTAGAAAAAGGTCGATCGAAATTTTTAGAAAAATGATTTGTTGGAAAAGCAGGCATAAAACGTTTAGTTCTTACCATAAATTATGTAGTGTGGATTGGTTGCTATGAAATCTCTCAGGAGAATGTATAACACATAACCACTGCTAGTACATTTTTGAAGCAGACCAACTGCACATAGTTTTGTACAGTCCGCTTCGTGTTCAGTAAGAGAATATGAATTATGGAACAATTAAGTGATCCTTAAAACCAATTATATATCAGAAAAAAAAATGTGGCTGTGCAATAATAACTACACGCTACGTAATTTCATGCAATGTGAAAATCCGACAATTTGATCACGCTAACAAATCGGTTAATTTTATCCCACCATTCCTGGCATAATTTAATAAAATATATTCACGTTATATAAAGTATGCATGGATAGATGGTAAAACCCCATACGGTCCGATTTAACTCCAAAAAGTTAAGTCAGTCTATCTGAAGCTTAATGATTAGGAATGTTAAATGGACTCCCGGATTGGTTCTTAAAAAGTTCAGTATGGATCAAATTTGAAATTAAGGTGTTTAATAGGTTGGACTGGTCTTATCAATATTGAAACAATCTTGAAAATATCCTTATTACATAATTAGTTAGTTCATGTTGAATCAACTCAAAGGACAACTCTAATGAACTTAATAACTCTAAACAGATACAATATTCTATCTTATCTTAAATAGCAGATATCTTTTCAAAGATCATATTCGGACAAACATTTACTTATTGTATGGGTATATTGAATAACCCAGTTACACATGGTTTTATATTGAAATCCCATGGCGAAGGCCACGGAGTATGAACCCATGTGCAACTAGGTTATTCACTACATATCTATATAATAACTATAAAATATTTGGATCGTATCACTATCTATTCTTATACATGTTCTAAAATTTTTCTTTACTTACATTCTACTTATTAGTCACGCAAAATATTATTAAAATATTATTATATGATTTTATAAACCAAAATATTATTTTTTTTTAATTTAAATTCTTAGTTATACAATATTTTTTAAAACAATTTAAATTATAACCAAGTACTTATCAAGTATTTATTAATTACTTTAAAACTATTTGTTTTAATTGCTTGCTAAATAAATTTATAGGAAATTTTATTTTCACCTGGGTTAAAGTCATATGATAAACTATAATATCATTTACGTAACTAAAATGAATTTTACTAAAACGCACGCACCTATGGTGTTTTACACCTATGTATACATTATCTCAAAAACTGGCTAATTAATCGGTATGTGTTCTAAGTAAAATGTTCTACACCCCAAAAACCTTTCCCAAACCCTAATCCTAACCTTAATATTAACTTTAACATAAAAAATTAGTGTTAAAAATTTTATATACAAAACTTATAAAAACTTAAAAAATTTTAAAAAATATAATAAAAACATATAATAGATGCAAAACCATCATAGGCGCATTTTATAATAATTGAACTAAAATTATTAGTTTTAGTAATATTTTGAGTGACTAAACCTGGATGAAAATATAATTTCCCTAAATTAATATTTAATAAATAGGGTATTAGTTTATAGCAGCCTATTGCCATAGTGATTCTGTGATTAATTAATTTTTAAATAGTTTTTTATTTTTTAAAAAATTTTAATTTACAAATGTTATAGGATAATAAATATAAAAAAATTTATACATTTTCTTAAAACTAAAGCTTATTTATCTGTTTATTTAATAAAAATAATAAATTTAAATTTAACTATTTTTTTAATTAATAAACTTTATATAATAAAAATATAAAAAAAATTTTTATTTTATTTTTTTTTAACTTGGCTAAAAAAGTTGTTAACACTTTATTAGATATAATTGAAACTGTATATATAATTGTTTAAATATATTACAACCTAGAATTAGGCTATGTTAACTCAACTCAGGGTTCTGATATTTATCCAGCTGTTTTAATAGATATCCAAATATATCTTAGCTGCATTAATTGCACATTATGATTAAGACTAATACTAATAGTTAGGGTATCTACTACTTGAAAAAACATTGCCATTAAATTACTTGTTGGTGAAAAGAATCAGATTTGCATCTGGTGCTACTTCTGCATTTTAAAACTACTATATCTAGCTAAACTATATTCTCTGTATTACTTACCTTTTCACTTTTATACAACTTTCAAATTGGTAGTATTTGAGTTATAGATCTTTGTAATCTTCTAGTTTGGTATGTCATGTTATTTTTTCTTAAAGTATTCTGACATTAATTCAAGATTTGCAGGAACTCGCATCTTAAGCTAACAGCACCAGGATGTAGATGAGATTTTCTGGGTCACGTGAAAAATCGAGCTCTGATCAAGACCGAAATCACGTGATCAATTTGCAATAACAATAAAAAATGCAAATTGCAACTTAAATTATACTCCGGAGTGCACTTTATTGATAAAAATTACAAAAATAAAAAATAAAAAATAAAAAAAAATTGCAAAAAAAAAATTAAAGTAAAAAAAAAATAAAAAAATAAAATAAATAGAACATTAAAATTCAGAAAAAAATCTACAAGAAATTCCCAAAAAAAAAAAGCTCCAAAAATCCACAAGAATTCTTCAAAAAAAAAAATCTCTGCCAAAAGTCCTAGAGAAGTCGACAAGAATTCTTCAAAAAACCCACTGAAAGTCCTAAGGGAAGTTCACAAAAATTTTTCAAAAAAAAAAACCAAAAGTCCTAGAGAAGTCTACAAGAATTCTCTAAAAAAAAATGCTGAAGTCTTAAGGGAAGTCCATAAAAATTCTCCAGAAAAACACTGCCAAAAGTCCTAAGGGAAGTCTACATGAATTATCCAAAAAAAAAATGCTGAAAGTTCTAAGGGAGGTCCACAAGAATTTTCCAAAAAAAAATGCTGAAAGTCCTAAGGGAAGTTTACAAGAATTTTTCAAAAAAAAACCTGCCTAAAGTCCTAGGAAAGTCTACAAGAATTCTCCAAAAAACCTGCCAAAAGTCCTAAGGGAAGTCTACAAGAATTCTCCAAAAAAACTCGCCAAAAGTCGCAAGGAAAATTCTTCAAAAAAAAATGCTGAAAGTCCTAAGGGAGGTCCACAAGAATTCTCCAAAAAAACTCGCCAAAAGTCTCAAGATATGTACACAAAAATTCTTCAAAAAAAAAAGCTGAAGTCCTAAGGAAAGTTCATAAAAATTCTCCAGAAAAAATGCCGCCAAAAGTTATAAGAGATGTTCACAAGAATTCTCCAAAAAAAAACGCCGAAAGTCCTAAGGGAGATTTACAAAATTCTCCAAAAAAAAAAGCTGAAAGTTTTAAGGGAAGTTCACAAGAATTTTCCAAAAAAAAACCTGCCTAAAGTTCTAGAGAAGTCTACAAGAATTCTCTAAAAAACCTGCCAAAAGTCTTAAGAGAAGTTCACAAGAATTCTCTAAAAAAAAACGCCAAAAGTCCTAAAGGAAGTTCACAAGAATTCTCCAAGAAAAACCTACTGAAAGCTGAAAGCCTAGAGAAGTTCTCCAAAAAACCCGCTGAAAGTCCTAGAGAAGTCCACAAAAATTCTTCAAAAAACCTGCCGAAAGTTCTAAGGGAAGTCCACAAAAATTCTTCAAAAAAAAACGCTGAAAGTCCTAAGGAAAGTCCACAAGAATTTTCCAAAAAAAACACTGAAAGTTCTAAGGGAAGTTCACAAGAATTCTCCAAAAAAAAATACTGAAAGTCCTAAGGGAGGTCTACAAGAATTCTCCAAA